ATAAGAACCAAGATGCATTATGTAAAGGTACAATTCCCAATGAGAAATGTAATTGTGTTGTATACCTAAAATGTACCAATAAAAGAATTTAAGAAAAAAAAGAAAATATGCTACAGCTCTCTTCTGCCCCTCAACCCCTCAATCTCTCTCTGTCATATAAGAACACAAGGAAGAGTCTGAAAGCAAGAAGAGTCTTAGGGAACCAAACCAGCCAGCACCTGGAATTTGGGCTTCCCATGCACCGGAATTGTGAGAAATAATTTTCTGCTGCTTAAGTCATCTAGTCTATGGTATTTCCTTGCAGCAGCCTGTGTTAACACAACAGACATAAGGAGATCCATTTATTCAGTAGGTACCAGTGGCTGCCCTGTGCCAAGCACAATGCCAGGAATTAGATGTCCTGGACTAGGACATTTTAATTGTTTCATGAGTGCATTTAGAATCTGTGTATATGTTTATCCCCTATTTTATTCCCAAAAGAAATTAGGCATCCAAGATTATAAAGGGGAGAATGGAGAGACATATAGGATACAATAATTTGGAAGGATAAGAATTTTAAAATAATACCATGTAACACCAGGGCAAGAAATTTGAAACAGGTAGAAGCAATAGAAGATTGTTTGAGAAAGTATGAAATACTCATATTAAATGAAGACATAAAAACTTCATTAGACCAATTACCATAAAAGAGATTGAAAAGGTGATTAGAGAAGTTCCATTAAAAAGGTTCTGGAACCAGGTGGGCACACAGCTGAATTTTATTTAACCATTAAAAATGGTTGATTCTATCATTTTAAAAACTATTTTTGATCCTCAGAAAAAGATGGAAAACTCAGTAGTTCCTTTCATAAATCCAGCTGAAGTTTAATATCAAATTTTATAATGATGGTATATATAAGAAAGATATAAGCCATCATTTATAGTAAATATTGGTGAAAAATAAAATATCAGCAAATAAAACCAATAGTATGTGAAAAAACTACTGTGCTATGACCAAGTATTGTATAGTCCAAGAATGCAAGACTTACTGTTATTTTCAAGAAAACTGTCAACCTAATTAAATTAATTAAAATTAAAGAAGCACAGGATTAGATGAATAGATGCTGAAAATTTAACACCCTTCCTTCCTTCCTTCCTTCCTTCCTTCCTTCCTTCCTTCCTCCCTTCTTTATTCTTTCTTGGTTTTGGTACTTGGATTGAACCCAAGACCTTTGCACTGAGATCATTCCCAGTCCTTTTTTAAAATTATTTTTTAAAATTTTGAGATAGGATCTTGCTAAATTACTAAATTTCCAAGGCTGGGATGAACATGCACCAGCCTCTCAGAGTACTGGGATTACAGGTGTGTGCCACCATGCCCAGCTTGGAGTAGGAATTCCTAACTTAAAATGTCTAAATTATATGTTAATAAGTAAACACCATGGAAGAAAAACAACTATTACCCTGAATAGTAAAAAACTAAAATTAGATGCCAGTCAAGATTGTCTGCCATTTCCACAATGAAGTCACAATGTTTTAGAGAGAGGTGGTAGAACCATCTAAGGTGGTCTCCAGTGAATTCATTAATTTATACTAATAACCAAATAAGCAAAACATTTTAGGAAAATCAGAATGACTGGAAGTACATGCATATTGGAAGGCTGGTCAGTTTGGTCAGCACAGAAAGAGTGGTAAAGTGCAGAAAGGGACAATGACCACCTTTTCCCTTATGGAGTATTGTATTATATTGTTTTGTTTCTTGCAAATAGCAAGAATGTCCACCATAATTTAAAAAGAAACCAAATCTATAAATTCAATATTAAAATATGGGATGAGGCATTTTCTCTATTACTTGATATTTCTTTCTGTGAAGGAAGTTGACATAACTTCTAGTCTCTCTACCTTTTTACTTACTCCAAGACAAGGTGCAAGGTGGGATGAAAAGATTCACTGGTTGGTAGGTTTTGGGAGATTATCATGCAAGAATGGCTCAATTCAGCTCCTCTTCTCACTGGGAAGGAAACTTCATCAGGGAGCAGGCATTCTGCTCCATCTCTCCCAATCCAGGATTATCTCCCTGCAGGATAGAGGAGAAGACATCAAGACTGCCACAATTGGGGCACTGGCTGAGAAACTGTGCCCACTTCTGGGCTGCAGTGAACCACTTCTCATCTTGATCTTCCATCTGCCTGGTTCTTCATTTCATTTCTCAATTTTCACAGAATTGGGGTATAAAAGAAGAATGTCATTAGTTGATTCCCTTTAAAAGTAATAGTTTCAATTTGGATAGAAAATTTTAGAGTTTAAAAGAAAAAGTTATTCTTGCATTTTAGCACATATACATTTTATTCAAACACAAAGTAAAAAAAATATAAACTGCAGTTGGTAGGTTTGCTGTATAGAGGTGTAAGTTGGCAATTCTGAAACTACATGTAGGTATTCCAGACTTGAATAAAGAAGTAAATATATTGGGGATAGAGTGGGCAGGTTTTTCACTTTAAGGAGTCATGAATGTGTAAATATCTTGTGGTTGATATTAATGGAAATGATCTGTAAGATTTATAGGCATCAAAATGAACATATAATAATGTTATACAATTGTAAGTTATATAGTGATATATTACATAATGGGCATATATAAAAATAAAACATACATATAATATATTATCTATGTCTGTCAGCTGAAAATGCTGGAGGCCATGACACAGCAATAGGAACGAATAGGAATAACACACCTAGAGCCCAGGTTTTACTTTCTAAATATACATATAAATATATATAAATATATATAAATATATAAAAATATATATATAATCAAAAAAGAGCTAGTCTTCTTGGAGAAATGGGGCCTGGGCAGGGGCAATATAAAAATATTTTAGTATATGTGCTGCCAAAGTGAGCACAGGGGCAATATAAAATAAACCAGAGACATCTTACTGCACCAAGCAAGTATTCAGAGTAAATAAGTATTCAGAGATTCATGCCAAGAGGAAACAGAAGTAGTCCGGAAGGTCTTCCATTGGCCACATCTGGGACAATTTGAAAATAAAAAAGTGATAGAAATGAATTATCATTGAATAAAATAAGTATTCAAGAGTTCATATATATGAATAAATAAAATGTGGAGAAGAAAAAACTCTTCCTTAACAACAAAAACAACTAACAACAAAAAACAGAAAAAAGTGCAATTAGAAAATCTTCAACGGATATCAAAATTAGTGTGTATTTCACAATAAACATAATGCATAGTCACAAAGTATTTTTTTCCACAAATTACCTATTGATTACAAAGAAGAAAATAGTTTTGTAAGAGAAATCTGTTGAATGCTTCCTTAGCCAAGCTATTCAATTTAACATCCCAGTACTGGGAGAAACTAATGTCTAATATCATGATCATGATCATGTTCATGGGCTTTCAAATAAGATGCCCTGAAAAGGACACAATTTCACTTCAAAAGTATTCCTGACAAAAATGTGCAATCTTAATCTAATCATAAAGATATATCAGGAGAACCTAAGTTGAGAAGATACACCACAAAGTACCTAGTTTGTAGTCTTCAGAAATAACAAATATGAAAAAGAAGAAGAAAACTTAAGGGACTCTTTCAGATTAGAGTATGTTAAAGAGACATTTATGATGCTGAACATTTGAACTAGGAGAATAAATCCTAAGAAGGACATTATTAGAGTGGTTAGTAAAATTTAAAAATAGATTTGAACTAGGTAGTAGAATTTTATCAATGTTAAATAAATGTTTTATCAATGTTAAATTTCTTAACTTAGATAACTTTGTGTTTATGGGCAAAAGGAAATGATGTTTCTACTTATTCTAAGTTAGTTCAGATGAGAATAAGTGATATATATATATCATTATATATATCATTTTATAATTATATATTATATTACATTATATATTATAATTTTTATAT